AACAACGCAATCAGTCACAACCTGCTCAGTCTTATTCACAAAGCTATTGTTTCCGTTGTGGTAGTTTTCAACACAAAGCCCAGTATCAACAATGCCCAGCTAGAAACCAACAGTGTCGTAATTGTTCAAAATATGGTCATTTTGCTCGAGTTTGTAGCGCATCAAGCCGACAAGTTAATTTTATGGATTCATCAGATTATTATGAACCAGTTCAACATGACAGCCATCCACCAGTTGATCTGATGACTGATGAATTTACAGTGTTGACAGTGACTAATGGTGCCAAGCGGAAATTAGATTGCGAAGTTATTCTGAATTCTGTTCCAGTTACAATGCAAGTAGATACAGGTTCTCCAATCTCAATTATAAATAAGTTTATACATGATAGATATTTCAGTGATGTTATACTTACCCAGCCAGATACTTACCTTAGAAGTTATAACCAGTCATTCATAGATGTCATTGGTGTTGTTACCTTACCTGTCAGCTTTAAAGATCGAAATTGCCTTTGTAAATTTATGTTGTTTCATCAGGAGATCCATTGCTTGGTTTAGATTTGATAGCATCCTTACGTATGAATATTTGTGTCCAGCCTGCTACTTCCCAGATAGCTATGAACGACTAAAGTGTTATAGTCAATAGTCCTGTTGTACTTAGTCGTAGAAAGAACAATAAACTTCGGTTGTGTGTTGACCTACGCAGTGTCAATAAAAACATTATTCCTGTGAAGTATCCTCTACCGAATATTGAGACGCTTATAGGTTCAATTAAGAAAGCTGATTTCATTACAAAGTTGGATATGAATGAAGCTTACCACCAACTTCCACTGAAACTTGAAACTCAAGAACTTACGACATTTGCAACTCCATTTGGTTTGTACAGATACAAGACTTCTCCATTTGGTTTAGCAGATATTCCTGGATCTTTTCAAAAGATGATGGACATCATTCTAACCGGTTGCACTGGAATATTCAATCTTTTCTTGATGATATCCTGATTGTTGGAGAGACTGAAGACCAACATGATAAATGTCTTGTTGATGTATTGAAACGTTTTGAGAAACATGGTCTAACGCTAAGTTCTTCAAAGTGCTACTTCAAAGTTTCGCACATAAATTGGCTCTGTATCATCTTCTGGTGTTCATATGCTCCCAGAAAATATCGATGCAGTCAATAATCTTGTTGCTCCTTCAACGGTGAAAGAAGTTCAAAGTTTATTAGGTTTTTTCAACCACTATTCACACTTCATACCAAATTTTGCTAATGTTATAGAACCACTCCGTAAACTTACTCGAATTAATCAGAAATGGGAATGGACTTGTGAACAGGACACTGTTTTCAAACAGCTGAAAAGGTTATTCACTTCGCCCCCAGTATTAGCTTTTTACATACCAGATCTTGAAACTTATGTTACCTGCGATGCTTCTAACTACGCATTAGGCGCAGAATTATCTCAGATGCAAGAAGATGGACACATCCGACCGGTAGCTTTCGCATCAAAAACGCTTAACGACTACGAACAGAAATACAGTATCGGCGTAAAGGAGGCATTAGCGTGCACATGGGCAGTTAAAAAATGGGATAGATACCTTTAAGGCAAATCATCCGAGAACTCCTCCGGTCATAAACCTGCTCGCATTGCCAGATGGGCTGCTATTTTGTTAAAAGTATAATTTTTCTATGGTTTACAAAAAGGGGTCTTCCAACGTCATAGCAGATGCACTGTCTAGATTACGCTCTATTCCAGCTATTCCGACTGTTGATAATGAACTAAGTGATGTTTCAGTAGATGATGTAAATTTGTGTTATTCGCTGACCAGTGAATCTGTCAATGTTTCACCAGAATTAGTTGCTTTAGAAACAAAGAAAGATGAAGTTTTATCTCAAGTATTACATTTTTTAAACACATCTTGGCCTGATAAGAAGAAAATTCCAGATAATGTTCTTCCTTATTATTTTATCAAAGACGAATTGTTTGTGTTTGGTGATTCATGTATCGGTTGTAATGAACGGACTGTAATTCCTGATAGTTTACAACGTCAAGTTCTAGAATTGGCTCATTCTGGTCATCCTGGTATTGTTAAGACTAAACAAAATCTTCGTTCAGTCGCATACTGGACAGGTATCGATAAACATGTTGAAAATTTTGTGAATTCATGTTATATGTGCGCGGATAGCGATAAATCGTCTAAACGTTATGTTGCTCCTTTAAAACCATATAATCCTTCTAAAGGGCCGTAGACTGATTTAGCCATAGACATTCAGGGACCTTTTGAAAGTGCACCACAAGGTTCGCGATATCTCGTAAATCTCATTGACTATTATTCTAAGTGACCAGAATCTTTAATGACTGATTCAATAACTTCCACAATAATTATTCAGTTTTTAGAACGATTATTTTCTGTATGGGGTATTGCCAAAACTTTGACTACAGATAATGGACCACAGTTCATAAGCCATGAGTTTACTAATTTTTTGCACAGTATGAACATTAAACATATTCGTACACCGAATTACCACCCAGAAGCAAATGGAGCTATTGAGAGACTAAATGGTACTTTTAAATCTTTAATTCAGACAAATGTTAAAGATAAATTATCATGGACAAATGCTCTTAGAATTGTATTAGTTACTATTAGATCTTGTAAACACTCAACTACTAATTGTTCTCCTTTTTATTTAATGACGGGGAGAGATATGCGTACAAAACTCTCAATGTTAAAACCATGTATGAATAATGTTGAGAAAAAGAATAATGAACTGATTGAATTTGTATCTAATAAACAGTCTAAAATGAAACAGTATTATGATAATAAGTATAGTGTTAAAAAGGTTGATTATAAAGTAGGAAATAGGATCAGAATTAGGATTAAGAAATTATCTGGTAAGACATAAATTAAGTGCACATTATTCAGAACCTACAGAGATTATTGATATTAATGGTGATATTGTTACTGTAAGTAATGGTAAGAAATGGCATACAAATGATATTGTAAAGTTTAGATATGATGGTGAAATTGTAGAACCAGATTTTCAGTATAATTAATATTTGTGGTTTAATGATAATTTTGAAAATGTGAATGTACAGGATAGAAACAAATCAAACAATGATTATAATGTTGTAGAAAATGTACCAAGATATCTTAGAAGAATTCGCCATGCACCTACTTATTTGAAGGATTTACTAGATAAACCTAATGATAATGATGTACATACAAGATGAATCATGCGAGATGAAATAATGTTAAACTTAATAGTATTATAATTACTTACATAGTATATAAACATACAAGATATAATTGAAAGGTTTATTTCTAAGTTGATGACTATCTTTAATCGAATAGGGGAAATATGTGGTGTGTGTCAATTCATTATGTCATTAATGTGTTTCCATACTTTGATAGCTATAGGTAAAAGTTGTATAGACATGCGCAGTTGATATTGAGATGTACAGTTCCGCCATGCCGATGAATAAATATTGTTAAAGCCTTTCCTGATGTTATCCTCGCAAATATAAACCCACAAATAGAATAACCCGATCATTGTGGGATTTATATGCATGATTTAAATTAGTGAATCGAAAAAGCCTATTGAATTTCAGTAATTTACAATAATTACTTCTAGAGTTATTGCCCTTGTTTCACTTTGTTAAACCTTGTTAATGCTCAATTAATGAAAGTTATCATCCGATATGTATGAAATTTTTATACATCATTTAAATTTGTGAAATAGGTCTATTGAATTTCAGCAATTTCTGTCAATAATTTCTAGAGTTATGGCGATTGTGAACGTTTGAATAAAAAAAAGTGATCATGTGATCTGTATGAAATTTATATGCATTATTTAAATTAGTAAAACGAAAAAGCCTGTCAAATTTTAACAATTTCTGTAGATTACTTCCAGAGTTGAGACCCTTGTTTTTTTAAGTTTGTAAAACCTTGTAAACCCTCAAACGACAAGATTTATAATCTGATCTGTATGGAACTGTCTTGTAAAGGCCCCCAATTACCTACAAAGGAATAAATATGTGACAACCCTTGTCGACCGCTCGGACGATTTAGCTGCTGTGGGCGTATGTTTTGTTGCCTGGCAACCTATCTTTATATTGTTCCATATCCAACCCCAAGGGGCAGAGCCATGCCCAATTTTTGTATTTATCGTCTACAGGCTTCAATTCTTAATGGATCATCTTGGAACTTTGCATATTTATTCCTTATACTGTAAAGACAGCAACTATTTAATTTGGTGCATGCGCCGACCCTCTGGGGCAGTGTCACACCCACTTTTTTGTTCATATTTTGTCTGTAAATTTGGCAACACAAACGCCTAGCCTTCTTTGCCTCTTGTCATATTTCATTCTCTTCATTTTAAAAAGTACCATATCAATCAAAGCAGGAATGTGGACGTATATTGCAGCGTTAGCAATGCTCTTGTTATTCAGGGGCATATCTTATAAACCATTCAATATATCTATATGAAACTTTATACACATATCAACTTATAATGCTAAAATAAAAATTTCTCAGTTGAATAACTTTTTGTGTTTTCTAGGATACAAATTGTTCTTAGGTTTTGGTACACAAATGTTATTCCGAAGCATATCTCAGTTGAATAATTATTGTGTTGACAACACATTTTACTTAGTTTTTGGTATGCAATTATTATTCCGTAAACTTACATCAGCTCAAGGTATTCATTGTCTTTATTAACCATGTCATTAACCAAACGTGGACTTTTCCACCATTTTTTAATGTTTGAAATTTGCTAGCTCTCTGTCAAACTGACAAATGTGACTGGATGTGACAAGCAATGAGCACATGTCCTGCATTCAGTCTTGAAGGCCATTCCTATTCTTGTTGCAACTGGTTTAACTCTCTCCTTTTTTTGTACGAATGAATGTGCCTGAATTATTTAAGTGGAAATTCAAGTTTTTCTTTTAAAATTATAAATAATGTACAAATGAAGCATGTTGACACACATTCTTATTATTGTTTCTTTCAGAAGATGGCTTTAAAATGCATCCGTGAATTGAAAGCTCGAAAAAAGGATGATCGTGTTCCATTGGTTTGTAAAATATGCAAAGACAAAACATTTACCGCAAGTGCTACTCTAATGTATCACTATCGAAGTCATGCAGGTAAATTGTCCTTTGTTATACACAAACATTCATATGCTGTCCAGTTTTCTTCACAACTGATAGTGAAAGGAAAAAGTCATAACATTACATTAATAGTTTTCTATGACTGTGTGCTTTTTATACACCCACATTGAAATGTGGTCGTATATTGTTGTCGCCCCTGTGCATCAGTCCGGTGTCCACAATTGTTTGTGGACTCTCTAGAGGTTAAAGTTAATATCTGATTGACATTTAAGTTTTCAATGTTAACGATTTCTGCCGTTCTCTGTGAGTAGTTTTCTATGACTGTGTGCTTTTTATACACCCACATTGAAATGTGGTCGTATATTGTTGTCGCCCCTGTGCATCAGTTCGGTGTCCACAATTGTTTGTGGACTCTCTAGAGATTAAAGTTAATATCTGATTGACATTTAAGTTTTCAATGTTAGCGATTTCCGCCGTTCTCTGTGAGTAGTCATAATTTTCCACCAATAAAACAGCCTTGACATCATTTTAGTTATTCTGCACATAATAATAGAGACTAGAATATGAGCAGAAGGACTAAAATGTTGTCATGGCTGTTTTATTTGCGGAAAGTTACGACTACTCACAGAGAACAGCAGAAAGTTTACCTGTGGCAGGTAACATTGACATTAGGGATCGTGTTATACTTATGGCAAGGATATGTTGACATAATAACTTGCATTATTATTTAAAAGATTTATGAAGCTTTTCCAGTGAGCTTTAAATGTTTTTATGCTAAATGTTAGAATAGGGCAGAACTAGAAGCCAAATGGGTTGTTACTCGTAGCCAGATTTTAGTGTGTTGTAAATGTTTCTTATTTACGACAAAAGAAAGAAAATATGCGACAACCATGGATGATATTTCGCCCAAATATGCCAGACATTTCCTATGCTGTTTTCGAAACGTCCAACCAGGAATGTGCCCAATCGGACGTCAAGATATGTTGAATAATATTCAAATTTCCAAAATTATTTAACTGTGCTGGGTATATATTATTGATCCTGATTCACTGTAACCTTGGTACCGTTTAATCTTGCGTAAATAGCGCTAATTTCTACTCGGTGTACAATTATTCATAAATATTGTTAAATTTCGGCTAATTGTGCTCAATTTGTACTTCTATCAAATTTCACTCTCACTGTTTAATTTTGATTACCAAGTGTCTAATTAACTAGTGTTTAGTTTCTCGACACGTTTTGAATTATAAGCGTCCCATCTTATTAGAAAGACTGTTCAATAATTAGTTGGACCATTCAATTTCCTGAGCCGTGATTCAAAATTAGTCAAGGTGTCCAATTACGCAAGGTGTTAAATTTTGTTGTCAAACATCTAATTTCACGTGCGATGTTAAGATATTACAATGTTGAAATACTCTATTAAGTGTTAGTTTTAGTACTGACCTGTTGCGATACAGTGAAATATTATTTTTCAGGATTCATACGACGGCAGGTATCTGTAATGCCTGTTATTATCCGGGGATTATTTTTCAAGATCACTACGGTGAAACAGATGTTGGATTTTTAATGGCGACGGGACGGTTCCGAAGCAAAGCTTTCTTGAGATGCACATACGGTTTCATCCACAATCATATTTATATATCCATTTAAAACAGTATTTCCCACATTGACAACACATCCACGAATGATAAATCTCACGCATCTGATTTACATGTGTACACGTCGACTCCCTACCCTGATTAAATCCTTTTGTTTAAATGTCTTCGCAATTAAGACTAACAGCATGGATATTGCACCAATCATATATTACATGATATGGGATCTATAGAAAGCATTTTGGGTTGAAGGGTAGTGCGATTATCTCGGGCAATAAACACAGAAGGCTTGTAGAATTAATACACATGTGTCAGAAGCTAACAATATGTCTATTGTGTAAGACAAAACGTGAAAATAAACTAATAATTCAAACTCTTTATTTCTTTTTATTATTATAGAACAACGACCCTTTTTCGCTGAAGATCAAATAAAACCTACTAAATACAGTTCATGCTTATATGTAACGCATAACCTTGCCAAACTTTATTTCAGAGAAAGCCAATTTAAAAAGGAATCGTATCATATATTTAAGTTTAATTTTTCATAAAGAATGGGGATATCATAAATAAGTTAATTCGATGTTTTTGTGGCATGTACTATATTAGATGAGATCGAAAGAGCATTTTAGATTAGGGGTTACAGAACAACAAGTAAGGTGGAATTAAAAAGACGAACGGAACTGTTCTTCAGACTGAATGGCGACGCCAATCTTAAAATTTTACTGAGTTCGTGCTGCCATACTTTCTAGGCAGAAATAGCTCTTTGGAAATTAAAATGTCTTCGTTAGAAATTTTGGCATTTACCTGTGACAATAATTTTAGCTTCGTGCAAAAATCATGAAGCATATAGTTTCAACTTGGAAGAAATGTTAGAAAATGGCTAACAAACAATCAGCATTGTTGATTGTAAAACATTCTTGGTTCATTTTCTGCTTGAACGATTGCTGAATACCATGGACACGTATATCAGTCCGATAATACCTTGCTAACTTTTTTATTTCGGCACCAAAGAGTCTGGTTGATGCATACTGTCAATCAAAGTTCCATAATGAGAATTGCCACATAACATCAAAAGAAATCGATTGACAGAACGTAGACGCCCCTTTAACAACAAACTGTTACCTTGCTGTAGTTGTGTGGACAAAATGACTTTTATTGTTAATTGTCAGTAGTAATAATTACAAATTTTGAAAAGAGATGTCGATGTATTTGCGATTTTACATGTAGCTTCAGTCCATTCAATAAACTGCATTTATTACTCAAATGGTTTCTAATTTAGCTGAATGTCAAAATAAAGAAAACACAGTTACACTTACAATATGACTAACTAAGAAGTTATTTGTCGCGATTTGGCCAGAGCCCCACTCCACCCGTTACATGTAATACCAATTTGTAAAAAGTAATTGTGATTACTGTCTTACGGTAAAACTCCTGTTTTTAGGAATGTGGATATGTGGGATTGTCTATATTTTTTAAATCGGTACAGACTTGAAAGTTCGCGCATGCAGAGCGTCTTCTGAACAAACTGATGTTTAATCATCATATTTGCAGTTGACATATTCTGTCAAAATAATTCCTTACACCGGTGGTAATTATTTCATTGCATTGTGCACAAACGTCATTCCTTAAATTGCCCCACACCCCTTTAACAACTTATAAAGCATGATTTTCTGTTAGGCAATTTATTCTACACTGTTTGATGTGCTTTATAACTATTGAAGAGGCACGAATTCATAAGATCTGGTTGTTAGATGTGTTCACTCTGTGTGTTGATGGATAAAACAATCAGAATTAATATTTGTGTCTGATAATTATTGGAAACAGAACATTTTTTTAATTAGGATATTAGTGTCTATGGTATGAATACGGTAGGCAGTTTGTATTTGGAATTTACAAGTTGAAAGGGTGTGAGTTAACCCGTTCAAAAGCAAACTCGTACATAGTTAAGGTAATACTTGACTCGTATATAAATTGATTAGAATAAATCAGTTTTACTCATTGGTTGTTTATATTGTTTTATTTACCTAATAATCAACTAGCTTGGCTCGCCATAACGACAGAGATTAGTTCACCGATGTTTTTGTAATAAAGAACAATAGTATTGTTTGTTGATAAGCGTTATGATTTTAGACAAAATGATAAGTTCACCAATATTTTTGTAATAAAGTAGACCCGTATTGTTTGTTGATTGACCTTATCTCATGATTTAAAAAAAATGGCGATGGTTAATATTGGGTCAAAAATAATTTCTTTAAGTGCGCCGGAGCCCCTTTTAGATAAACAAAGTGGCTATGTGCAATTTTATCCTTTGATCATTTATACAGGGGACATTTCTGTTATTCAAACCAATCTGCACGTGAATGACTACATAACAAGTTGACAGTTCATCATTGATTTGGGGTTCATGTGGAATAGGCTCTTCGGTCGAAATACGGTTATTCTTTTCTAAAATAAAACGAGTGCCTTGGATTTTTGTGTGGATTTGATAGGGGTTATAATTAACTAATATTCTCTTACATCGGAGACTTGTGTTGCGTTCAGTTCATTTTTACAGTAAATATGCAAAACAATTTGAACACAGCATAAATATCTAAACTGTATAATACATGTATAGACTTATGCATACGTGTCCTTTAAAATGTTCTAGACATGCAGCTTTACATGACTGGTTGGAAATATAACCGCATATATATCGTGCAGAATATGTGAACACGCGTGTTCTCACTATACAATGTGGACTAACGCGTCCGTATTATTAACGAAAATATTCAACATTCATAACATCGTGGCAGTATATCGTTAATTTTGCATGTAAAATTACACCGAGGCCCATATTTATGATATCCCCATTCTTTATGAAAAATTAAACTTAAATATATGATACAATGCCTTTTTTAATTGGCTTTCTCTGAAATAAAGTTTGGCAAAGTTATGCGTTACATATTAGCATGAAATGTATTTAGAAGGTTTTATTTGATCTTCAGCGAAAAAGGGTCGTTGTTCTATAACAATAAAAAGAAATAAAGAGTTGGAATTATTAGTTTATTTTCACATTCTGTCTTACACAATAGACATATGTGACCCGCCGCATGTAAATGAGTCGGAATGCGGTAAAATTAATTTTGCACAAGAGACAAAATAAGCGAAAATATTGATTTTGATTGAAATTGAGATTTTCACAATAATGAGTCTATAAATATACTATCTATCGACTCAAAAGATCAAAATAGCAATAAAACATTTTAAAAAGCCTTTATTTGGACGTTTTGTAAGAGTACCGTATTCTTAAATCTGTCTTTTTCTGAATATTCTCAGCCGAATTAGATATTTTTCTCTGCTCGCAGCGGGGCGACCTGTCAATCCTCTTGCAAAATGCTTGGCATCGTTGTAAAGTGGAGAATCTTGAGTTTATAAGTATTGCCGATGAATTCATTTTGAAGAAAT